CCCAGGGACCAGGGACAGCCCCTACCTTGCCACAGTGGCGGGCAAGGCCGGCTGATGGGGAGGGAGTTGGAAGGACCCTCATTCCCTGAAGGCGCACCGCCAGCACCACCCCCCACCCACCTCCAGGACCCAGCACTTCCCCACACACAGGGCTGCACCCCTCCCTCTCCTGCCGCCTCCATCTCCAGATTCATTTCTGAGCAGGCCCTGGACGCAGCTGCCAGGAGCTTCGGTGGGCAGAGATTTCCAGGCCCACAGTACTGCAGGAACCGTGACACATGCGTGACGAAATCAGAAATACACATCTGCTTCAGACATTTATTTCCACTTAAATGACACTTTGAAAGATCCAGGAGCCAATTTGTGCCACAAAGACAAGTTATCATCAAAGACTCTGGAAATACCATCGTGTCAATTCACAAGAGTTGATTTCTTAAATTTAAATGGTAGCCTTTAGTTAAAATAGACCTGAGAGAAGAAAAACTCCAAAGGATGCCTGCCCTATAATCCACCTGGACTTCTCATTCCCGACGGGACACCTCAGTGGACACTGCCCCACCCCACAAGACTCTGAGGTGTAGGGTCCCACTGCTTTGCTTCCACAATCCGAGAGGATCAGGAAGTACCCATCTCTTAGAAAAATAAGCAGGTCAACATTGTTCAATATATTTTTCTACACATATAAAATCAAAATAAATTTTTAAAAATATTTTTCCAGATACAAAATAAATAGAGAAAACATCAATGTAAAAACCAAAGGACTCTCCAGTTTAGACCACACCTTGCCAGACTTTCAGGAAGAGTGAATGATCACATCAGTGTACAACCCAGAACTCACCCAGTTAAGTGCATTATTTTCATATTTTAATTTTTATTAAAAATAAATGATTAACTGATAATAAGTACATATACCCATTTCCAAAATATGATGGCATAAGAGTCCAGCACAGCCGCCTAACATACAAGGAAATGACATTTCCAAATATCATCCAGTGACATGTAAATTTAATTTCATGTCTTTTGGGAAAAGCAGGATTTGACCACAAAGTCTCCTCCAGTAGCATTCAGTAATTTCCAGTCATGGTAGATTTTACTGATGTCTCATTTGAGCAGGTGAAACAAGTCGCCTATTTCCCATCTGATATTTTCTGGAGCAGAATTGAACTGAGAGCATCACTGTGTCTTTGGCTTACCTCTTCGGGGACTAAAGGACTGGACCCCTGAGCCAACAGGCCTAATGCTGGCTTTGCAGGCGGGAGGGTCTGAGCCCGGCTGGGTCCATGCCACACTGGCCAACTCAACTCTGCACTCGTCTGACCAGCGAATGGAGGTAGAAGAGATGATGTGAACAGCATGACGCAAAACGTTACACGTGGCTGCGGAGTTCATTCTGCTCGTATTGAAAAGTGACTGTGTCTGATAAGCAGGAAGATCGTTTTTTAAATCAATTAAACACTCATTTTTTTGTTTGTCAGTCTTCCGAGTGGCAGGTCCCGGGATGCACTTCGGCTTCCTCCTTTCGGCGTGGCTCTTTCTCCTGTGCGGAGCGTGGACAGGTTCCCCTGAGCCTCAAGGCCCATCTGAGAGCAAGAGCTCCATTCCTAGCACCGTATTTCAACAGCAGGAAAACAAACAGAAACTCAAGCCTTGCCTCTGCATTCCCGGGGCCACAGGCTGCAAATCCTTCTCTCTGCATTCCCGACAGAGAATGCAAGCACCTTTCATATCCCAGAGACACAGCGGAGAGCTTACTTCAGACACACCTCAGCCCATGATAAAGCTTGCCATTGTTCACACAGAGATTTGGGGTCATGTAGAATGAAACAGAAATAAAAACATGTCCTAACAATAATGAATAAAAGAGGCTTCAGGAATTGGTGTCTGAAGGAACCTTACAGCTCACTCCCAGGCCACCGTTCTTTTTTGTGATGAGAGCTGCCTTGTGGGTGCCTGAATACTACCTTTGGGAGATCCCCTTAGGACCCTATAGATAATTATCAAGTATCTACTCTCCAGCAGGCACCATGCCAGAGACCCAAACAGAGGGAGGAGTCCAGCTGGAGGAACTTTAAAATCTGCCAGGAGAGACACAGCCATGGAAATTGCTATAATGTCCATTCTGATATAACAAATGCTGAAAATGAATTCTTCATAAAAATGTGATAAGGAAGCAAATACTTGCTGCTACAGTTTGAATGTGCCCCCCACAGTGCATGTGTAAAAAAAAAACTCAATCCTAGTGCAACAGTGTTGAGAGGTGGGACCTTTTAAGAGGTGACTGGTCAGGAGGGTTCTGCTGTCATGAATGATGTAATATTATCAGAGGAGTGTCAGTCCTTGCTAGAGTGATTTCGTCAAAGCAAGTTTTGCTCTTTCGCCCTCCTGCCCACCATGACACAACACAAAGGCCCTCACCAGAGGCCAGTGCCATGCTCTTGGACTTCCTAGCCTCTAGAACCATGAGCCAGATTAATTTCTGTTGTCTATAAATTGCCCAGTCTGTAGTATTCTGTTATGGCAACACAAAGCAAACTAAGACACTTTCAAATGGGAAACGTGAAGAAGATATAAACACTGTCTCGTGTATTTTTAAAATGAGGGTGCATGGCAGCTATATATTAAATCAGGCTTGTTAATTACTTACTCTATCACAGAGCCACAGGCTCTTGGCATGGAAGGCCCAAAGCCTGGATTTTTTTTCTTTGGGAACTGTGTATCAAGGATTCTAAATAATATTGCCTCCCCAGTTCTTGCTTGTAAAAAACGCATCCATACTCAATAGCCTGGTTGATCTGTTTCACTTTATTTCACTCTTTCTAAGTGTTCCGCCTGAAAGTTGGAGTCACATCCTTCAGAGATGACTGGAACATCTCTGAAGGATGTGACTGTGGATCACGCCTGCAGCTGGCTTCCACCTTACTGAACAGGGGTGCAGGAAACATGGTTGTCATATAACAAATGTGTGACTGATGGTACAAAGGTGAGAACAAGTGAGGCCCTCAAATCCACCCTGCCACCCCAACAGCTGAGGCAGTGGGGCTGCCTGCTGTTTTGCATCCCAGGTAATTAAACTGCCCTTCGCTCTTTCACTGCCCTTCAGGGACATGTGTAGAAGAGTTGACATTGATCAGAATCAGCTTCCACTGAGCATGGTATCTCTAATTAGAACTTCGGATCTGTCTCTCTCTCTCTCTCTCTCTCTCTCTCTCTCTCTCTCTCTCTCTCTCTCACACACACACACACACACACACACACTCTCAGATCTCTCTCTCTCACACATACACACGCACATACACACTTGGATCTGTCTCCATCTACCTTACACACACACACACACACACACACTCGGATCTGTCTCTCTCTCTCTCACACACATACACACACACACTTGGATCTGTCTCCATTTACCTTTTACACACACACACACACATACACACACACTCGGATCTCTCTCACACACACACTTGGATCTGTCTCCATCTACCTTACACACACACATACTTGGATCTGTCTCACATACATACACACACACACACACACACACTTGGATCTGTCTGTCTCCATCTACCTTTCACACACCCTCAGGTCTCTCTCTCTCTCTCTCTCTCACACACACACACACACACAACCTGTCTCCATTACCTTACACACACACACACACACAATCTGTCTCCATTACCTTACACACACACACACACACACACACACACACACACACACACACACTTGGATCTGTCTCTGTCTCTCTCTCACATACACACTTGGATCTGTCTGTCTCCATCTACCTTTTATATACACACACACAATATGAATGTTGAGCCTCAAGCTTGTTTTGCAAGGGCTTTAGATAGGGAGATGGAGACAGTGCGCTGGACTGAAGAGTTCATTTTCTGAAGCCAGAAGTTTTTGGGGCTGCCACCTGGAAACTTGAATGACCTCAAGACAGGGTTGGCCAGGACAGGACAGGTCAGGGGACCCAACTAAAGGGGAGGTTCTTCCTCCTTACTCAGCCTTCACATCGTTTCTCGCTCTCACATCCAGACAAGACAGCACCATGAAACCCGCGCTGAGCTGGGACCTGCCTTCTGCAACCAACTAGCTGGGAAGTCCTGGGCAAGTCGGTAGGTCTCTCTGGGCCTCGTTTGCATCCCACATAAAACAGGTGGCAGGACCGAATGAGCTCTATGTTTCCTTCGAGTTCTAGAGTCATGAAATAATGTTTTCCTAAAGAAAAAGAACTATTTATTGTATAAAGAAATACACACCTGTAACCCCAACTATACACTGGCTGAGGTAGGAGGCTTATTTGAGGCCAGAAGTTTAAGGCTGCAGCAAGATCAGACTACTATGCTCCAGCCTGGGTGACAGGGTGAGACCCTGTCTCAGAAAAGAGGAGGAGAGGGGAGGGGAGGGGAAGGAAAGGGAGGGGAAGGGGAGGAAGAAAAACAATGGGGAACACAATAGGTTTCAAAGAAAATCCCTTAAGAACACGCAGAAACAGTAGGGAGGACCCACGCCTGTCCTCACATGTCCCTGCAGCTGGGAGCCATAGGCTAACACGGTGAAGGCCAGACCCAGAGCCAGCCACACAGAGGTGGACCAGCCTCACCCACTGAGACCAGTGGCCACACAGACACACACCTAACAAGGTAGACCACGAAACCCAGACCCAACCCTACTGCCAAACAGACTTCTTCCCCCTCAAAGCACAGTCATCTTCAGAATGACGAGGCAGCCCATCCTATGGAACCGAGGGCCATGGCTCTTGAATCTGGGCTTTGAAAGACAAGCTCAGTCCCTGATTTTTTCCACCTGAGAAGGAGGCTTTTCTGAACATGACCCAATGTGTTCAGAGCAGCCGGGATGAGGAAACACATCTGCAAAGAAGCAGCTTAATCCAGACACAAGAAATGGTATGCAAAACAGGACGTCAGACCTACTTTTGCAGTGGAACATGGTCAAAACTACTTTGCAGCAAGTAACTTTTCCTGAGTTCAGGTAAGAGTTTAGTCCAACATTTATATGTGACACAGCCATGTGAGACCTCTTCTCTGAGTACACAGTAATGTCTGGTAAAGTAAAAAATAAAAAAATAAAACAATCATTTCTATAATGAGCAGCAAGATTGCTTTGCATGTCACGTGACCGTGGCTGAATGGGCAAAACCTCTTGCAAAGAAGTGCCTTGGTTTCACACGACCATGCAGGACAGGCTCGCACGAACCTCTGGGCAGGAGGCAGCAGAGTCAACTGCAGGCTAAACACCAAACCGTAAAGTTCAGTTGTTCCTTGGCCCAATGAGAAACTCAATGAAGATGAACTTGGGTCAGGCCTGGGAAGTGGACACAGGACCACCCCACTTCACCAGGGCCCTCTTTGGGGCTTTGTGTCTGAAGGGTCCTTGGGAGCATCTTGACGTAAATCCAACTGAATTCCCAGAAGGCTCCCAGAGTCCCGCAAGAACCATGTCTGAGTCCAACTGCCCTTCAGTTTGAACTGAGAGCCCTACAGTGTTCCTGGGGCAGAGGCTGCTCCCCATTGATTGAAATCAAGGGACAGCTGGGGTGAAGAAACCAGAATGCAGCAGATGGCTCAGAAGAGACATCCTGCTCACTAAGAAGGTCAGCAGTGTGGGCAGTCTTTACAGCAGGCCAGACTGCAGTGGTTTTGAGTCTAATTTATACATTTTCAGGAACGCTGTACTGCCCAGAGCTTGGCATTCCTCAGTGTGCCAGCTGCATCCACTGTGGGGACATTTCCTGGGATAAAATTTGGGTTGCATCGAGTACTGAGCCCATAACAAGGACTTGGTGCCCAGCTACATCTGGCACCATGAATGAGGGAGCTGGGATGAGTCTCGTCATCCCAGGCTTAGCTCTAAAAAGCACAAGGATTGGGAGCTGAGGTGCAGGGGACTCTGGACAGGGACGGAAGGATGCTGGCTCAGAGGTCTCATCATCACTGTCCCCTCCTAAGGGAGGCAGCATGCAGGAGCTGTCCAAGTCAGATTCTAACAGTGCTCGATTTTCATTCTTGCTCTTATGTTTGCTGGCTGTGAGCTTTGGGACAAGTTTCTGTATCTCTCAGCAGCTGTTTCCTTACCTGTAAAATTCGGATGGTAAAACCCATCATGTCATAGGATACTGGCCCCTGAAATGCAGAAATGCAGGTGTATGTCAAACAGTATGTAGAGTGCGTGTGCCCAAAAGGTGGGGTCTATTATTGCCTGGGACACCAAGTGGGAACTACTCAGTGGCTTCATGAACACCGACATTCTGGCGTGGATTTCAGCACTAAAAAACAGCACCCTCTGTCCCGCTCCTTCTTCCAAAATCTTGCAAAAACGATTCCCACAGATTATCTGAAACTTGTCCAGATGTGCCTCTGGGCTCGCCTCAGACAGCCGGACAATCTTCCTCCCGGGAATTCTCTAGGGCCTGCCAGTGGTCCAGGAGATTCTGCGGCTTGATGAAGTGGCAGGCCACAATTCTCCGGAAGTGGCACACGGAGAAGCGCAAGCCCTCCGGGAAGAAGGTCCGCTGCGAGTGGAGCTCCTCCAGTCTGATGTTCAGCCTTTCCAGGCAGAGCCCCACGAACACGTCTTCCAGTTTAATGAACGGCACGCTCTCGGAGACGTTGTACACCTGACTCGCCACGTCGCCAGAAAACACGTAGCCCGTGCCGGAGCAGAATGGTGGGTACCTGTCCCACGGATATTCAGATTTGCTGACAAACCACTTACTGAACGGCTTCCTGATGGGAAGCTCGTTGAGTTTCAAGTAGCCAGTGAAAAACCTGGTTGTTCTGTTTTTCTTCAGAAGCAGTTCGACCAGATAGTAGACATTGACGAACATGTCGGAATCTGTTTTCATCACAAACGCCGCCTGAGGACAAAAGTGATGCACCCATTCCATGCCCATCATGGTCTTCAGGGTCAAGTTGTAATAGACATCTGTGAAGTCCTTCTGGATGATGTCCCCGTGCCGCTGGCTCTCCTGGTCCACCTCTTTCGTTTCCACCACACTGCTGGTGGTCCCCAGGAGGAAGAATGTCTTCACCTGCCTTCCGTTCACCGTCCTCTCTTTCCCCCACGTCTGCCGTATGGCCATGCGTGCAGCCAACTGTTTGTGAGATGAGGTCACCAGCAGGACAAGGAAGGGGGGTGTCTGCCTGCAGTCTGTATCTGGGAGCTTAAGGAAGTTCCCGTACTCTTTCTTGTAAACAAAGGGATGCTCTTTGAAAAGATTCAGATAGCACATGCTAACATACAAACAAAGAGCCCCCAGAACCAGAAGGCAAACATACATCAATCTCATCTTCGGGTAAGCCATCTGAAAGGAACAAAATCCAATGAATAGACCTCTAAAGCATGAGGATGTGTCTAGTTTTATGCTAGGAAGCTAAGATGAGAGAGGAGACCCATGTTCTGGAAACTCTAGAACCTCACTGAATACAGAAGTCCAGTGCTGTGGTTAAACAATTAAGCACACAGAGGTGTGACATCTGCGAGCATCTGTCACTTCATGGTATAACATAAAAAGCTCAGAGATTCTGGGCATTGGTCCTGGCTCTGCAGCCAGCAGCTGTTAGTGTATGGGAGTCTCGGATTTCCTGTCTGTAAGGAGATGGGACCCGGCCCCTCACTGGGTCCTCCAGCTCTGCCCTTCTATGACTCCATGATGATGCGCAAATAGACAATCTGCAAGTCTGGAAAGCACTCACTGTGAACTAAATGTACGGGCCGCCTGCATTCTTCCCTGATCTAATTAAGCGGCATTCCCTTCCCAAAAAGAAGCAAGTCTAGCGTTCTGATTTGCACAAGTACCTTCAAATTCCGTCTCTGCCAGAGTTATTATTTTTTAAGTGACTTTTTACAGTCTCTGATCTGTTTCTTTCCCCTTCTGCCCACCCGTCTCTGCTATCCTCGGCAAGTTCAGGATCATCCATGGTAACGTTATAACATCAAGACAGCGTATAACTCACTTTTTGCTGGGTAAGAGGAACCTCTGGTTTGAAAGTTAAAGCCACTGTGTAAATGCCAAGAGGAAATTTGTTTCAAAGAACTGTCAGCGTAGGATGGTCCACACTTAACAGGTTCTGGGCTTGGTTTGTTTACCAAAAATGACGATTCTGTCAGGAATCACTAGGAAAAAAAGAAAGAAAGAAGAGTATCATTCAAATCACTCGTGCCTTACCAGCAGACCTTCAGAGTTTACTGTGTCTATCATGTCACCTTCCACCTGCTTATGTGACTTTGAGCATGCCTTTGAGCCCCAATCCCAGCCTTACTTTTCTCATTTGTAAAATGGGTATGATTTTCTCAAAGTCCAAAACAGTAACAATATGCCAAGCTCCAGGATCCTTCAGGCCTAACGAGTTAGGATAGCACCTAATAGCTTTTTAAGGAGACACAGTAAACTCATAGATTAGAATCTAACTTCTCACCCTGATAATTTATCTTATTTACATAACAGAGTCTATAGTTAATGCGGAGAGAATTTAACGCAGAGAATAAATCCAGTTCTTAACTCAATAGCGACACCTAGAAATGTTATCTTAGGTAAGAGGACATGAACTCATGCGCTCAGTGATCCTCCTGCCTTGGCCTCCCAAGTAGCTGCGACCACCAGCACGTGCCACCACACTCTTCCAATTTTGTATTTTTTGTAGAGATGGGTCTCACTATGTTGCCCAGGCTGGTCTCAAACTCCTGGGCTCAAGCGGCCCCCTGCCTTGGCCTCCCAAAGCACTGGGATTACAATGCCAAGCCACTGTGCCCAGCCAAGACCTGGTTATTTTGATGGCCAAAAGAGCACCTCAAAATTTCATTGTCAAAATTCTTTTCCAAATACATTCACCAAAAGCAACATGAAATAATAATGGAGCTTTCTAGAATCAGCTCACTCTCCACCGGGGTGGTAGAAGTAGGACACGGTGAGCTGCACATTTTTACTTTTTTTTTTTTGAAAATACATGTTTTAATCTTATTTTAAAACAGTGAAAGTAGCTGACAATTTTCGAATTTTTTCTACTAAGCAAAATAAATTGTCAAGTCTATTTCCATCACTCCCCCATCTAACTGATGTTTGAACCATCCCTCGGCATCCTGTGGCCACTCACCCAGAACTACGGGAGAGGGCCCCTGGCTCAGCTGGGATGCTTGCTGGTCACCAGCGAGCCAGGCGCTGGCATCTGCACGCAGGTGTGAACAGGATGCCTGTGGCCTCCCCTGGGCTAAAAGGGAATTTCAAGCATCCCCATCCAGGGAGGAATGGTTTCTTTCTCAGCCTTTCCCATCTGCTCATGGCAGCTCAACCAAGAACTGTGGACAAAAGTCTCATCCATCGTCCCCTTTCAAGCTCACAGATGCTGCTGCTCCAGCCACGGGAAGCTCAATGAGGCACTGCCCTGGCCACACAGCCTCGGGAGCAGCCTATGCCCACCTTTTGCAGATGACCGGTGAAGGCAGGAACCTACCCCACTGGAAGGACTTTCATGTCACCTGCAGCTGTCACCTTCAAATAAGGTCACATTCTGAGATAGTGCAGGTTAGGACTTTAATAGGAATTTTTGAGGAGGGGGCCCTGACCCATAGTAGTGGCACTTGTGACTTGGCTACCAAGAGAAATCACTTGCATTTGTTTTATTTTGTCCCTCAGTTGAGGAACAGAGCCCTGCACTTTCATCCCAGGCCTTTCCACTGCCTCGAGAAGCCTCTTCCAACCACCTCCCCTGGGGCAGGAGAGTCCAGGTGCTAGGGGGTTCCATGATAAAGACGACAAACCTCTGCAGGGTTCAGGGTTCAGAGCATGAACCGAGCAGTAACTGGGGCCCGGCACAGCAGGGTAGTGCGTGAGGTCTGACAGAGACTCCAGGCGGGTGGCTCTGGATCCTTGTCCCAACCAGGCCTCCACCTTTGCATCTCCATATCTGTCTCTCAACTGCCCAGTTTTAGCAGGAATCCTGCAAAGTTGGTTTGGCTAGGATCCCCCACTGTCACTATCTGATCGGTTCCTCATCCTCTACCCTCAGTGTCTGGCCACCCTGGTCTGCCTCCAGATCACCCGTCACTATCTGATCAGTTTCTCATTTTCCACCCTTGGTGTCTGGCCACCCTGGTCTGGCTCCTGCAATGTGGGTTTAGCCAGAATTCCCCTTGCCCCTGGGATCTCCTCTTAGAAACTTTCCACCTGCTGAGGCTTCTGCCTGCTTCTGGGCTGCACATCCCCACTTGTTCATGCTGTATTCAGAATTCAGCCCAGCTCTATACTGAGGTCTCTTTCCCCTACTGCAATAGTTCCTGAATAGAATCTGTCTTCACCCTCTACCTCCTGTCCAGCTCTGGCTTTTCTTTAACAGGTCAGGGGAGAGAACAGAGTCCCACCTGTGGATATTTAGTGAGACCTGTTCCAGGCAGGCCAGCAGACAGAGGCAGGGAATCCAGAAGGGCCCTGTGGGTTCCAGAAACAGCACGGTGTGCAGAGGGAAAGCTGGGAAAGGAGGCTGGAGACAGGCAGAGCAGCTCAGAGCGGCCGAGAGGAGCATGTGAGCAGCGTGGACTCCGGCAGAGGACAGCAAGGGGTCCACGGTCCTTGTCAGGGTTTTGTGGGCCTGGAGTCTGGAGTTTGACAAGGCCTCTCTGTCCCATTCATCGATACAACAGAGAAGCCTCCAAACAAAGTAAGCGACGGGGGAGGAAAGCAATAGGGATTTATACACATGATCGCTGGTCTCAGAACTGATGAATTTAGACCTGGAAGGCATTTTCAGAATTGCCTTAGTCACCTCAGGCTGCCACCACAAAATACCACACACTGGGTGGCTTAAATATCAGAAATGTATTTTTTCATGGCACTGGAGACTGGAGTCTGAGATCAGGGTGCTAGCAGATCACACAGCGGGTTCTGGCAAGGGCCTCTTCTGGGCTTCCTGCAGATGTGTCCTCACGGTGGCAGAGAGACAGCCCTGGTGCCTGTCCCTACAAGGACCCTCGTCCCATCACAAGGGCTCCACCCTCAGGGCGTCACTGAGCCCACTCACCTCCTAAAGTCCTCATCGCCAATCACCATCCCTGTGGGAGTTAGGGCTTCAAGGTAGGAATTTTAAGGAGACACTATTCAGTCCACAGCAAAGATCATCTCCCAGCATTTATTGAGCACTTGCTGTGTACAGTATGGCACTGGTCATGGAGAGTGGCCCTGGGGGTTTCCCTCAACTGTATGGAGGGCCAGACTTGCCTGCCAGAACTCACCACAAGAGGGAAGTGCTGCGTTCTCCCAACCTATCCACTGCACTTCATGCTCGAAGATACACTTAACCTCCTAGGCTCTTTTTTTTTTCTTCTTGAGATAAGAGTCTCACTCTGTCACCCACGCTGGAGTGCAGTGGCACGATCTTGGCCCACTGCAACCTTTGCCCCTGGGTTCCAGCAATTCTCCTACCTCGGTCTCCCACGTAGCTGGGACTACAGGCTCCCGCCACCATGCCCGGCTAATTTTTGTATTTTTAGTAGAGACGGAGTTTCACCATATTGGTCAGGCTGGTCTCGAACTCCTGACCTTGCGATCCACCCACCTCAGCCTCCTGGAGTGCTGGGATTACAGGCGTGAGCCACTGCGCCCAGCCACCTCCTAGACTCTTATTCTCTCCTGACATGGAGAAGACTACCTTACCCAGCCTTGGGACTCAGATTCAGACAATAAGAAAGAGAAGGTGGACATGCTAGGAGGGTCTGACCCCCATTCAGGCTCTATCCCCTCACCTCACTCTACAATCTACCCCTGCTGAAGCTCTATTTTATTTTTTTTTTTAACTTAAGTACATTTACTTGCAGCTCCCAATCTCTGAGCAGCCAAAAGCACTGTCAATATTTTTATAACCCAATGCATTTAGATCTCTGATGCATTCTTTTCTGATTAATAACTCAAATAACACTGAACGATTTTATTGAACTACTTTGTCACAGTGCCAAAATATGGTGTTCATAGATTTAGGAAGGCCAGTCTACAATGGACTTTTTTAAAAAGTAAGCCTTTGATTACCCAATAAGCTAAGAATCAAAGCACCGAGGTCTTTCTTCTGACCCAAAACTAAACAAAACAGATTAATACTACAGCCAAAGAGGATCGCCAGAACATCATTAATAGGACTGCCGACTATTCTGTGCAACGAGCCATATTAGAAAACCCTGAAAATTTTGTAAAACCTTTGTAACTATCTATATCTAGTGAAATAGAAGGAGGATGGTTATCTTTAACCCCACATAAAACACCTTGAAAACAAAGATAAACACTTTCTCCCAAAGAACATCTTCCCCCAGATTATTCCGGAAGCTTGTGGCCCTACTGGTAGACCCCTAGACTCTAGGCTGCTTCAGTAAGGTGTCCATGAAGAATTCGAGTGACAGGAATTCAGCCTGCAAACCACAGGCAAAGGGTTGGGGGAGGAAGAGGAAGATTTTAAACAAGAGGCTGGGCATGATGACTCACACCCATAATCCCACCACTTGGGAGGCTGAGGTCAGTGGATGGCTTGAGCTCAAGAGTTCAAAGTCAGCCTGGCCAACACAGCGAAACCCTGTCTCTACAAAAAATACGAAAATTACCCAGGCACGGAGGCACACACCTGTAATCCAGCCACTTGGGAGACTGAGGCCCTAGAACCAAATATTTAATTAATTAATTAAAACAAGGGAGTATGATCATTCTAGAAACTGGCCTGCTGGATTTCAATTTCAATGAGGCATCCTAAACAAGGGACAATGGAAGCAATACCCAGCACTCGGATTTAACTGTGCTACATGAAGCCATCTTAACTCCACAAGGCTGGAGATTTTCTTCTTGACAAACGAGTTCAGCAATCCTTAAGATAAGAACCGAAGACTCCTTCAGTTGGCTGGCAATGTCCTGTTGTTCCAGGTAACTTCCCCTGCCTCCTCTCAGCCATCAGGACATCCTTATTCCCTTTCAGTTGTATGGAGCTTTGTTTTGTTTTGTTTTGTTTCTTGCTTTTTTGAGACAGGGTCTCACTCTGTCACCCAGGCTGGAGTGTGGTGGTGCCATCTTGGTTCACTGCAACCTCCACCTCCCAGGGTTAAACAATCCTCCTGCCTCAGCCTCCCACGTGGCTGCATACTAAGCCTCCCAACTGACTACAGACATGCATACCACGCCCAGTGAAATTCTGTATTTTTTGTAGAGATGGGTTTTTGCTCTGTTATCCAGGCTGGTCTCAAACTCCTGAATTACAGGGATCCACCTACCTCCATCTCCCAAAGTGCTGGGAATAGAGGCATGAGCCACTGCACACAGCCCCCTCTCAGTTCTTGACCCTCCTGCTCTTTCCTGGCTTTGCTTTCTTCTTTCCCTCCCTGCTCAGCTAACTCCTCCTTACCTTTAATCCTCACTTCCTTATTAACTACTCATAGCACCTTGCATTATACTGTATCACTTTAATTATTGGGATTGTATTTTATTAATTCTTGGTAGAAACCTTGGAATATCACCTACCTTTCTCACTACTCGGTAACTCCAGAAGGTCAGCAGGGACCATTTTCTGTATCTTTCATCATTCTGGACAGGGTGTGGCACTTAGAAGCCCAATGGAGAGTTTTGAATGAACAAATGAGAAATGAAGCTGCCCATGTCTCCAAAAGCCAAATTATACTTCTTCGTGACTTGGATACATTTTCTTCCTTCAACAGAAATGCTGGGTTTCAATGGCCTGTCTTCCAGATGAAACTGTTGTACGAAAAAATTCAGAGTGTTAGGTAATTTTGCTTACATACACTGCATTAAGACTTCAATTATTCCTCAGAAGATAGAGAATCTGGCGTATTCAGTGGAGGAAGGAGGAACGTCAAGAGTTTCACCCCTGCTGTTCATACAGAGGAGGCTGGTGGGTGATTATAGCCAGAGGGAGCTCCTCCAGAGTGCTGCGAAGCAGCTGTCCAGGGCACCAGCTCCTGAGCAAAGCTGCAAAGGCAGCCTGCTACCTTTCCACACCAGCGGGAGACCTTTGGTCACACCATGCGTTCTCTGTTCTTGCTCTTGAAATGGAATTTCTAAAAGTATTGCAGAATCAATAAAAGAGATGTCTTCAGAAGTACTTTACTCTAACCGTGCAAGGGGCAAGAGTAAATGCATCCAAGAGCGTCCCACCCGTGCTGGGAGGCAGAGGGTGGCTGCGGGATCAGCGTTTGAGCCTAAGATTTCACTGAGAACATTTTAATGTGGGACCTTTGCTTAACAGAGTAAAAACTATTATACTAACAAAGTGATCTGCCCTGGGTCGGGACAGTTGGCCTAACAGGGACGCTGCCAGTGAATTATTCTTCTCCCCTTTTGACCACTGCCTGCCCTTGGGTTGTGGTATTTCTCAAAGGTTGTCCCAACTGGAACAGGGGCAATAGGTTTCTATCCAAAGTCCAGCCTAACTCCTCTAATGTGCCTCTCAGCTAGCAGAGATTCCGCCAGGAGCTAGTCCAGGAGGTGCTGCCGGTCCAGGAGGTGCTGCTGGTCCAGGAGGTGCTGCTGGTCCGCAGCACCTTGGCATGTCTGAGCCACCTTGCACAGATGTGAAATGCAGAGGCGCCATGTGGCATCAGCCACAGAGACACTTCACACATACCAAACCACTGCCGGGGCCATCCCCACTGGTTATTTTCCAGATGTGAGGAAACCAACTCATCCATCATGAACCACTACGTCCTGCTGGGAAAATTTTGATAAGGAAGAACTTAAGAAGCCATCTCTGGCTGAGTCCACAAGAATAGGAAAATTTCCTGCCTCCCTCCAAAGGCAAAGAAAAGCTACTCCGGGAGAAGGAGAAAAGAAAATACAAACATCAGCTGAGAAAGTCGTCTCTGTTCCTGGACCAAACCGCACGGTAGGAAGAGGGCAACCGTGCCTTCACATGGCCGCTGCCTATATACCAAACAAGGCTATGGGAACGGTCAGGAAAGCGTCATTTCGGACACAGCAGAGACATCAGCAGCAGGGTGAACAGACACAGGTCAGCGGAGAAAGACGTGGAGTCTTCCGGCCATGACTGAGGGAACACGTTGCTAACCAGGTCATGCCTGACGCCTCCATTCCCTGGGGCTCACGCTCATGATTGTGACTGCATCATAATTGGGGCCAATCATCTGACATCATGACCACCCCCAACCCAGACAGTATAAGAAGAGCGAGAAGAAAGGGGGGTGGGCCAGTCAACACGCATCCTTCCCCAGCCAGACACTCAGTGCAGCATGGTGCAGAGACAGAAGCTTGTGACCCCGGGGAGGCCAGTGCTGGGGTCCTCCACTCACTGCTGGATAATCTTAGCAAATCATCTCTTCTCTCCCAACGCAAGCACTCATTTTTAAAAGATCACAATGCCCAATCTGAAGGTCGATGTGAGAATGAAATGAGTGCATTCATGGCACACAGCAGGAGGCTAATAAATGCTAGCTTCCTTTCCGTCCTTGTGCGTTACAAGAACACAGGACATTCCCTCACTCTCTTCAGGAATATATGCCATCGTTTCCAAGGTCACACAATGGCTCCGTAGGCCGCGGAAGCTGTCTGTGTCTCCCATCACTGTGACCTTCGCACTTTTTGCAATGAAACTGTGAAAGGAAAATAAATCTTGACACCCCAAACTCACGAAGCCAAAGAGAACAGTCAAGCTGGCAACTGGGTCATGCAAGCCTGCCTCCCATTTGGGTCCCTAAGTAAGATGGCAACCAAGATGAAAAGCTACATACCGCCCTCGTATTTTGTCCACAAGGAAACTCCCCGTGACTCCCAAGTTCTTTACCCTAAAACATTTCTGTTAAAGTTCAACCTGGTAATGTCAGTTAATAGTTTATCTTCACAGGTGCAGGGGACATAGGACAGAACTCAAAGTCATCTCTTTGCCCACCGGAAACAAATGCATATCTGATTGCTTCCTCTGCCCTGTGATCTACGTTATCTTAGGTAGAAATGCAGATTCACCGAGCCAGACAAAGGCATGAATTTACTATTTACCCACCTCTCACATGAAAATTGCGTATTTCTTAATATCCTGCCGTTTCCCCTGTAAACACTGAAGACCTCAAAATCAACTTAGGAGAAAGGCATAGACCTGTCTCCCAGGCACCCATCCTTAACTTAAGCAAATAAACCTCCTGAAATGATTGGGACTTGCCTTGGTCATTTTCCTTGATTGACAGAACTGTCCCTGTCAATCATTTTCACAAGAACACAAGATTTTTACTACAAAGTAAGCCACAGAGAGGAGTGGGGAAAACTCACATTCCCTCTGCATACCAGCCTCAAGGGGCTGTGGGAAGGTCGGGGAAGCAGGCACCATCTTCTCTTGCCAAACACTAAGCACCTTTCCCTCCACAAGAAGCATCTCTCCCCGTCTTCAAGCACACATAATAAAAAGCTTTAACAAGTTCAGCTGTCTCCTAGCAATCTGTGACATGCTTCAGAACTTGGGAAGGAAGATGCTGACAGAGCGGAGCATGTGCGTACACTTCTTTTCAAACAATAACCCACAAATGAAAGAGGAAACTCAAATTCAACGAGAAGAAAAAGCTCGATTGTTCTCCTGTCCGCCTGTCACCTACATCAAACAGCTGCGAGAGCGGAGGCACACACGATAGCTGTTTCTGCCAGGAGTGCTAATGCTAAGGCTTTTCACACAGCCTTCTCTTTTCTTTTTTGTTATTCTTTTCTTTTTTTGAGATGGAGTCTCACTCTGTCACCCAGCCTGGAGTGCAGTGGCACAATCTCGGCTCACTGCAGCCTCCGCCTCCCAGGTTCAAGAGATTCTCCTGCTTCAGCCTCCCAAGTAGCTGGGATTACAGGTATGCACTACCATGCCCAGCTAATTTTTGTATTTTTAGTAGAGACAAGGGTTTTGTCATGTTGGCCAGGCTGGTCTCAAACTCCTGACCACAGGTGATCCGCCCACCTTGGCTTCCCAAAGTGCTGGGTTTACAGGCATGAGCCACCATGCCTGGCCCAGGCTTTTATTTTCATCAACATGAAACTGCACTGCCAGGCTTTGTCCAACCTTTGACGCTGCCCACCTCCATCAGCGTCTCCACAAGGCCCTCGCCAATGGCCTCGTCGGGTCCAGTTTAGTATTCATTCCATTTCATTCTTGGAATGGACTCAAGCTACCCCTCCCCACTGGGTCTGGCCCATTAGTAAAGAATATTTAAAAAATCTTTTTTTGGTTTTTTTTTGGGGTTTTTTGGGGGGGTTTTTTTGTTGTTTTTTTGTTTTGTTTTGTTTTGTTTTGTTTTTTGAGCAAGTTCTGACTCTTTTGCCTAGGCTGGAGTGCAGTGGAGCAATCTTGGCTCACTGCAGCCTTGACCTCTCGGGCTCAAGCAATCCTCTTGCCTCAGCCTCCCAGGTAGCTGGGAACACAGGCACACACCACCATGCTCAGTTTTGTTTGTTTGTTTTGTATTTTGTTTGTGTTTGCGTTTGTGTATGTGTGTGTGGGTGTGGGTGTGTGGGTGTGGAGACGTGGGTCTCATTATGTTGCCTGGACGACTCTCCAACTCTGGCTTCGAGCCATGCTCCTGCCTCGGCCTCCCAATGTGCTGGGATTACAGGCATGAGCCACCATGCCCAGCCAGCAAAATATTTAAAATAGGCTATTTTGACTAAGACAAAATCAAAATTATCCCACTTCCTCCATATGTTAATCCATTTTAAAAAGTGAGGAAAATGTTCTTGTCTGTATTTTCTACTGTCTTCCAAAACAGCTGATCCTGCAAGTACTTTCCGAAGAAAGAGACACAGCAAACAGAAATATCCAAAAACAAACAAAAAAGGAAACCTGAAAATCCAAATATGAGCTATGCAAGAAGAGGAACCTCAATGTGCATAACTCCTTAGGTTACCACACCTCAAGTGCTTTGTCCATGCAGTTCCCTGGGGCTGGAATGCCCTTCCACGCCTTCTCAGCCCAGTCATCCCTACATTCTTCAGATGAAATGCCCTCCCATCCTCTCAGTTGCCCCAACGCAGAGATAAATAATGTATTACCATTTATTACTAACTTTATATATGCTTCTTTATAGCAGTCATTATGTTGTAATATAAAGGATACTACTTTAGGAACCTCTCAATCTTCATTTGATAATTCTCGTACCTAGCTCAGAGCCTGTGAACCTAAGTGCAATATACACTTATGAATGTATATGGATAATGAATGAATGGATGTGATAAGAGATCATGTCCACAGAAACTAGCCAAAGGAGACATTATTATTTAAACTTGAAGCATGTACCCTAGTATATGAAAAATTTTCCTACAGAAAGTAACAGTAATGGAGACAGCTACTACAGAACACAGACAAGTCAAATTGGTATTCTGTTTTAAAGAACTGATGCCTCTTTATTTTTCAAGTATAAAATGGGGATGATTAATTCTACTTGAAGCTCTGGGATTTGCTACCAAAAGAGCAAAATTCCTCTTAGGCTGGCTATCAAAGCACAGTGTTTAAAACATGAATCAGGCCAGGCTCTGTGGCTTACGCCTGTAATCCCAGCACTTTGGGAAGCCAAGGCAGGCAGATCATGAGGTCAAGAGATCAAGACCATCCAGGCCAACGTGGTGAAACCCCACTTCTACTAAAAAATACAAAAACTTAGCTGGGCGTAGTGGCGCGTGCCTGTAGTTCTAGCTACTCGGGAGGCTGAGGCGGGAGAACTGCTTGAACCCAGGAGGTGGAGATTGCAGTGAGCCGA